TTTCCGTAGACACTACAACCCTGTGCACTTTATTGTTGCACTATTTTATGCATAACCATGTACAGTGTGTGCATAATGATGCACATTTTGTACACAATAATGGACACAAATGTGTGCATACTCGTTGATGTAAACAATCCTGCAATTTTATGCACAATAAAGTGCACAAGGTTGTAGTGTGTACCCAGACTGTAGCATTCTTACCACGAAAGCTCCCTGTTCGACCACGTCTCGTTAATACATGATCTCCAAAAGGGATTCGACATCGGTGTACAATTCCTGGCAGATCTTGAAGTGACTGATGCCATACCGTTTCTCGACGAAAACAGGCGAAGGAGCAGCCATACCTAGGACATAAACACAGCAGGAATTTAACCCCACTTTCACGCGTGCCTCTACTAGGGAGACAAAGGTGTGTGCGGGAGGGCGCCACAACACCTGTTTCGAACTTACCGTTTCCTCGTACGTGTACAGTCGGCTCGGGAGAGAAAGCAGCGTGTGTCAACACAAAGGGCCAGCGAAAGAACAGTTGGGAACGCTTGACGTGACCCGTGTGCACGTTCGTGAGCAACTGCCGGCCGTCGTCTGCTGGCGTAGTCACCGCCTTCTCGCTATATCGATATGTCGCGAGACAGCGCTGCCAACTGTAAGCTTGAAAGAAAAAGGTGTGCAACTCGTTCGTTTCAAAGCTGTAAATCAGAGTAACGTTCTAGTGGCGTTATATTTCCTGGCATTTCACTAAATGGGACCTTATGCGTTTTTCCTTCCAAAGCACCGTAAAACCCGGTACTGTGGACGAATTCGGCATCAGTGTAGACAGTTTTCCCTGGTTTTGCCTGTACGCATGCCCTGTACATTGCTCCTGCACTAAATTTGAAATATTGAAAGTACGTCAATGCTGTTTTTCTATTGACAAAAGTAGCTGGAAAATAATTGGCAGCTATCATCGTCATGTTCCTTTCGCTGGCTTTTGCAGTGTTCCTTTCTTCCGCTTTCTTGATCACTTTCAGGAGAGTGATCTAAACATATCTATGCGGACCAAACCGGGCCCAACACCTTCAGCCTCATCCGAGGGGGTGGCCTTAAGCCACCCTCAAGTCTGTGGCAATCCATAGAAGTGACGTAAGTCTGACTTACGTCACTATCTGAGTTAAACATTGTACATCATTCTACAACTCACACCGGACATGTACATGTTTTCAGATTGAAAATCGGGACCATAGAAACTCCACAACTTAGTAGAACATTCTGACGTAAGTCAATAAAAGGCAGATGCTGATCAGGAAAAGTGACGCAAGTCAGACTTGCGTCACTTTAATAGAACAGTTCTTTGCAACATGTGACGTAAGTCAATGAAATAGAACCAAATGTATTGTTTGGTATCAAAACAGTTTTGCTATTAGTAGACAATGTTATGGGTCACTCGTTACAGTGAGAAATTTGGTTGGTTCTGAAAAATCTGATTATACAGGGCAAAGAACTGTTTTATTTCAGTAAGAAGTGACGCAAGTCATGACTTACGGCACAAAAGAGGGATTCCAGCTCTAAATCAGATTCAGCTTGCAATGACTTTAGAATGTCAATGTGAGCTCTTGTACACAAGCTCATGTTGATCCCAGGTGACCAGTCAGGGTTATGGAGGACTGTTGGTGTCCAATGAACACTTTCCCCACAACCACTGCCCAAAAAACTTGACACTCCCACTTTGAAGACCATGGCGCCTGGCTTGGATAGGGGTCTTGTTTGTTCTAGTTGCCACTGATATTCACTACATACACATCACACATCAATTATTTCTTGAAACGGATGGCTGTCACTCATCCCTGAAAACCGATGGAAAGGTGATTCGTCTGCTAGCAGCTATCAGCCACCAGCCTTCTAGCAAAACTCGTAAATGCCCCACGCCAAAACTCACACATGCGCACCTAGCGGCTCAGAAAAGCAACACTCTGTCAGCAGAAGACATCAACCTTAACATCTGACAATGTCTAAAATTACTGATTTACAAACACTGGCTAATTTTGCCCAATGTAGGGCTGCATTGTGTCTATATATTTTCTAATGTTTCATTCCTCAAGCAAGTGACAAGAAATGT